AGATGATGAGCTTCTTTATGGATGATGAACGTCTTTGAAAAAATATCACCGGGGTCAAGGCCTCGAATCTAATTTTTTATTTTATATGTGTGCAGTTGCTGTGTTACATTTTTAGTATACTTATCTTAATGTTTCTAACCTGAATAGTAACGGACTGTAGGTTGGGGTTTTGTCTGTTACTTTATGCATATTTGTTTGTTTGTTTGCAGGGTGAATCTCTTCAAGGAGGTGATGATTCTCCATTTTCAGATTCTGTTACCTTAGAGCAAACAACAAGCAATATTGGCATATCGAGTGGACGTGTCAGCTTATGGATGCAGTGGATGTTGCCAAAACTCACAATAAAGTTATTTGCACCAGACCCAGAAAATAAAGGCACAGGTACTGCATAGATAACTTTTAAAAAATCAATTTTTTTTTGCCTGGCTGCTTACAACGAAAGTTATAAAATAAACATCCAATAAAATACCAAGATCAATCATAATAAATAATAAATAACAAGTCTAAAATGACAGTGAACTATCCTCCATCACCACCTTGCCTGTGCCTAGGTTCTTGTCAACCAGTACATCCCAGTCTGCAGAACATAGCCATTTGTCAGTGTGCTGCACAACGGCTTGACGTTGGATGGCTAAATATGTATAGTGGGTTTGTATATGTTGCTTTTTAAAATGGTGTGGATTTATGCATCAAAGAATAATCGTTTTTATCTGTACAGCAACAGATTGCTGTGCTCATGCTGGTTGTTAATGGCAAGGGGAGAATTAATCCAGTTCCCTGTATTCTGCACCAGAACATTTAATGAATGGGAATTTCCACAGGTTTCTACAACTATGCATGTACAGCAGCCCATTAATGGATGGGGTGAGGAGTCTGTAAAGTTCCTCATTGAGCTAGGAGTATTTGCACCTGTAGACCATGCTGAACTGGAGGAAAAATATTATGGTTAAGGAAAAGGCTGTGTATGATCCCTGTTACCAGTAGCTATTTTAAAAACTTGTCTTTGTGGGAGATAAACATGAAATTCGGATCAAAATGTTGTAGTTACGTCAGAACAAGAGCTAAGCATTATTTGTGGAACTGTTTTTTAGGAGCTGGATCTCATAGTAAATATTCATTGGTATTGCAGAGATTTGTGTTGTGAGTGAATTAGAAGACCTCAGTGCCTCGGTAGACGTACAGGATGTCTACACGAAAGTGAAATGTAAAATAGAAAGCTTCAATATTGACCACTACAGAAACAGGTAAATTACAGGACCCTGTGTGTACTATTAATTCATTTCCCAGGTAAGATTAGTATTTTGAAGAGATGAATACACAGGTATGAAACACTGTTGTCTTAATCAAGTCACTAGCGTGTTATCAGATGAAGTCATCTCTTATTTCAACTGTGACTAAGTTGTGCAGAGGATTAGTCAAGCCTGATTTGCCTTTAAAAATGTTGCTTTCAGTGTCTTCACTCTTAACCTTCCCTGGCTGGTATCTTGTCCCGTCTGACCAGAACCTTGCTGGGTCACCAGCCACTTTCCCATTGCCTAGCATAGCAAGCAGCCACAGATCCACATGCCCCTTCGCAAACATTTGCAAAAGAATCAACATGGCCTTTCCTCACACAACATGGCCTTTCCTCACAGTCAACTGGACCTCAAGTATGCAGTCTTGCCCAGGCATCCAAGGGTTTACACAGCTCTTTCAAATCCCCCCCCTTTCATTCCACAACTGACAACCTTTCCAGATGAAAAGTCACCTACCCAGAAATGTGGGATATAAATATTTTAATAAATAAGTAAATAAGAAGACCATTCCACCATGTAGAGGCTAATACTTAGAAAGCTCTGAACTGAGCAAACACTGTCCTCACCTGCCTGCATGAAGGAACTTCCAATAATCTTGGGCTCACAGAGCAGAGTTGTGGCAGCAGAACATGGTGGGAGAGAGATCTTGAGATCCTGAGATACATGGATCCCAGCCCATAAAGGGCTTTAATTCACATCTTGAATTGAATTTGGAAATTAATAAACAACCAGTGAAGCACTCTGGAAATAAATGCATTGTGGCTAACTCCAGATGTTAAACAAACTGCTGCATTCTGTTCCAAAAGAAGCTTCTGAACTGTCTTCAAGGACAGCTCTTGTGTAGAGCACATTACAGTAGTCTAGGGTCAAGGTTGATGTGGCACAGATCAGTGAGTCCAGATCAGCCGAGTCAAAGTAGGGGTCCAACGTCTGAGCCAAGTGAAGGTAAAACGAAGCATTCTTAGAAGCTAAATTGATCTGTTTCTCTAATAACAATGCTGGATATTGCATAACTTCCAGACTCCTTGCAGAATTAGGCAGACTCAGCTGCACACTGTCAAGAGCAGGGAGTACAGTATCCTCCCAAGACCTCAACTTTACTGGCCAGCATCACCTTTGTACATGAAGGAGAGCCAGTTTGGTGTTGTGGTTAGTGGACTCTAATCTGGGAGAGCCGGGTTTGATTCCCCACTCCTCCACTTGCAGCTGCTGGATGACCTTGGGCAAGCCATAGTTCTGTCAGAGGTGTTCTTGAAAAGAGTAGTTTCTGTCAGAGCTCTCTCAGCCCCACCTACCTCACAGGGTATCTGTTGTGGGGAGGGGAAGGGAAAGGAGTTTATAAGCCACTCTGAGTGAAGGGCGGGGTATAAATCCAATATCTTCTTCTTCTTTGTCTTATAAGGATTCACGTTCCCATTTGCCTCTGACATGCATTGCCCTAGGATAGCCACAGGTGCCTCTGGTGGCTTAGACATCCAAACTCAAAGCTAAGATGATCTCCTTCATTCTGCTTCATTCACATTAAACAGCATAGGATATAGCACAGAGCCCTGAGATAAATCAAATCCCTTGATGATGATTTCTGATTTCCCATATGTAATGGATTCTCTGAACACAGTCAGTAAAAAATTAATTAAACCTCTCTAACGTAACTCTGATACCAATCCTGGTTTCCAGGCATTTTGATAAAATCATGTGGTTGACTGTGTCAAAGGCTGCTGATAAATCAAATTCACAATCTTTACCCATTTATAAATGGAGATTGCCCAACGGAACAGACCAGCACTGCCTCTGTCACATAGACAGGCCTGAAACCATACTGAAAAGGATCAAGAGCAGATGTGTCATCCAGAAAATGCTGATTTACTCTGCCACCACTTATGATTACCTTGTCCAAGAAGGGTAAGTTTGAAACAGAGTGATAATTAGCCACATCTTTTTTTATCCAGAGGAGGTTTGTTTAATGCTAGTGACTAGCCACTTCCTTTGAACACCTAGGAAACACCTCTCGTGTTCATGAAATGTTAATAATAAGCTCAAACAGCTCCCTTACCTCCTTCTCATAAGATTTTATCAACCAAGAAGGACAAGGATTTAGAAAACCAATGGGCATCTTCAGAGCACCCAGAACCCTGTCCATAGAAGAACCAGACAGCTTTACTTATTTGATTTACTATACAACTGGGGTACAGATTATACCAGATCTGCAAAAATAGAGCATAAATGTCACAGCTCAATTCCTAAATTTGTTTCTAGGATATATTAAATGCCACAACATCATAAACAGTTGGTCTTGAAGAAATTTACTGACACAGAGATAATGACAAGTAAGATTTCTCACTACTGTCACTACCTCATAGGCTTTTAAACCCAGCATATGACCCTTATCACGCATTGAGTCCACAATAACTTGGGTCATACCCACGGTGAACCATGGTAGTAGTAAAGTCAGCCAAGTCAAATGGGGGGAATGGATCTCCAGCATCAACATTATTAGAAAGTATAAACAAAATGTGGCCTACTGCCTGCCTCTTTTCTACTGAAATAACAAAAAATTGCTTTTAGAAATGTAATCTTGCCAAGAATACGAGGTCAAAATCACATAAAGCTAAAGTGTACCATTGTCTAATCATCCTGTCTTAATTGCAGTAGAGATAAATCTATGGTAAATTAGTAGATTCACCCTGCCCGCACATGTACACACTTTCTCAGTGCGTTTGTCTTGGAGAGTACAGATTTCAGTTCATTTTAAGGCCAAACTGGATGTAGTGGGGGGAAATTCTATTGACCAACAGCATTTTTTATTTGTTGTATAGTTAAAAACAATTGCAAGGGCAGGAGGTGTTATTTCAAAAAAGGCCATCACATAAGGGAGATGATATGTCATTGTTCCTTTTACATTGTAGACCCACACCTTGTTACAAACTAAAGTATGGAATTGTATTGTATGCATTATATGAAACAAAGTTATTGCTATACGTGAACATGAATGTTGTCTAGATAGATAGGAAAAGTCATTAAATGAAGTTTTCTCTGTTTTGGACTCCAAAGTACAGACTTTTTAATGTGCCGATATATTTTTATCATCATTAAATGAAGTTTTATTTGTTTTGGACCCTAAAGAACAGAAATCTAACAATGCCATTGCCAATATGTGTTCATTGCCATGGATATGTAGCTTGGAAGAGCCAATGTAGGTTTGGGTGTTAAGATGCTTTGAAATGTCTGTCCATGAACTACAATAACAACAAGTAGAAAACATCTTGGATAGAGTGCTAGCAGTTTTTAAAAGTTATTGAGCTTGACCTTCCCATTTCCTGATCCATTGCACAGCAAGGATTAGTTCTTAAAAACTGGGATTTTCATGGCCAGATTCAATGGAAGTTCTTAGATCATTGCTATACTTACACTCTCTCCCTTCTCCTGATTCTGCTTACCGCCTGATCTGTTCACTCCCCTGTTGGTGTGCATTACATGACATAACCGCAGCTGAGCCAGTGGCTAGGGATGTGGGGAAGGGTCATTTCAGTAGACTGAAGCAAGCCTGACAAGGTTTGATGCTGTCACAACAGCTCAGATACTTGCTGTTACAGGTAAGAAAGGCATTGTCAATTGGATATGAACAATCAGTTTATTTTCCTTATGCTTTTATCCTCCATGACTTCTTATGACTTTCAGCCAAACATTTTCTTTTTTCTTTTTTTCCCTCCCCCTCAAATCCACATGTACTGTACTTTAGATCTTCACTTCATTAATATTTTATAAGCATAACAGCACAATCCTAAACAGTGTTATACCCATCTGAGTTCATTGAAGTCAATGGGCTTAGAAGCGTATGACTCTACTTAGGACTCTACATCCATATTTATAGGCCTGATTTGAGCTATACAATAGAGTCCTAACATTCTTTCCTTCATTATTGGCTTCCTGCTTCTTCTCTCCTTGTCACCCCAGCTGGCACCATTTGTATTTGAGTTAGTCATTTTGTAATTTTCATATTCACATAGTTGAAATGTGTGGACTCTGATCAGTTGCAGAGAATAGATAAGGTGAACATTGTGTTTTCCAGACCAGGAGAAGGCTGGCAATCTGGAGTTTTTGAAGGCATATTTCTACAATGCAAAGAAAAGCTTGTGGTGAGATTCCTGTAGTAGATTAAGACATTTAACCAAATAACTATCCTAAAACCTAAACATTGCTTTCTTTGTTACCATACAGAAGGGAGAATGACTGCAAGAATTATAGTTCAAACTACCATGGTACCTTTTGATGTTGATTTGTTTCAGTGGGGAATTTTTTTAAATCATGCTTTTGTTGCCCATTCCTTGGTTCTTGCAGTCTTCCTCCTTCTGTTCTAATACAGCTTCTTGTTTATAGTGAAAATGCAAATCGAGTTATCATTAGTTGCTGTCTATGGAAATCCTGTTTTATTTTAGTTCTTGATCAATTTTTAACTCCTGCTGTGTTGCTTCTTCCGATTAAATACTTGCAAATATTTTTGAGTTAATGATTTTTCCTTTTCAATATTACTGGCTTACGATACCTGAGAATTATCAAAATCTATATTACACTCTGATGGATCTTGGCACAATTCCGCTTAATTCAAAATACTTGATTTTTTTCTTCCTTATGGCTTTATGTTTGTTTTTTGCTTTTTTGCCTGTATCACCTCAAGCTTTGGGGAAGACTCTTGGTCTCTTGGGAAATGTGGAGGTGTCTTCCTTTCCTGTACTGACAAGCTGAATAGACGTACATTGTTGGTTCGACCCGTCAGCAAGCAGGATCCTTTCAGTAACTTCTCAGGCTTCTTTCCCTCTGTAAGAAATCAATGTTATATGTTTACTGCAGAACTTCCACTAACATACAATATTTATGAGCATGGTGATGGTATGAAATGCTTCTCCAAAAGCTTCCCCCCTCCTATTTGTTAAGAGTTACAGTCTGTATTCTGTAGGTTGGTTGGAGTAGCAGTGGAAGAACATTGAGAACATGTGTCAAGAATCTGTATTTTCTCTACAAAATAAAGGTGTAATCATATAAAGGAAAAAAATGAGGAATGTCCATACTAACTATGCATTTTGAGTAAAACTTTGTTTTTCATTTCACTCATCCAAAAGTGGGGGGGGGGGGGTTTCTCACCACTCTCCAAAATTTTCCAATTTTTTTGGTTGGAAAAAAAAAAGTCCTCAGAAAACAATTTTTCTCACAATTTTTTCCAGGCCATCACATCTCTAGTCCATCCTAGTTTGACTGGTTTTTACTGTTTCTGCTTAGACAGGGAGGGGTGAAAGAAGCTAAAATTTCATATTGTGCTGAGATTTTTCCATGGCAAGTAACAAATGGGCACTACTATCAGCTTAAGAACCAATTCTGGTGGCTTATCTTATTTTAATGTTACTGGAAGTTCTGTTCTTGATTGATTTTTGTATCAGGAATATGTATATGTAAAGTTATTGCTGCTACTTATCACAGTTATTTCATTCTAACACAAATGAAGCTAATTTACTAATATGTTGCAAAGTCCTATATTCTTCCATTTTAATTAGTTAAGAACAGTTATTCTTTTTTCATAAAATGAATTTAAAATGTAACTAAATAATGAAACCTATTCTGGAAGTGTTTCTGAATATCACAATTACGAAATGTTGAAAAAGCAAGTATGTAGTTAAATTGAACTGATGCATATGTTTTTAAGTGGAAAAGTTAAATAGGCCTTGATATACCGTAGTTGGGGGTTGTATTGCTTGTGAAAAAGACATTTAAAGCAGTCTTCCTCATTAATTTCACAGTCAGGGGAACTTCTTCTTACTCATTTCTGTTGTGTGAGTTGAGCTGCAGCTGTCATGGAAGTGGATGGGAAAATTTGTGTGGATAGAAGCCCCACATATTAGACAAAGCTCCCATGGAGTTTTCAGTTGTACTTAGAAAGTATAATTCAGTGTTAAACATAAGCACAAAAGAGCACTCCTGGATCAGACCAGTGACCCATCTAGTCCTGCTTCACACAGCGGGCACCCAGTTGTCCAGGAGAGCCAATAAATAGGGCATAGTGGCCAAGATCTTTCCCTGATGGTGCCTCCTAGCACTGGTATATCAATGTTCACTGCCTCTGAATATGGAGGTTATACTCACCATGACTAGTAGCCATTGACAAACCTATCCTCTGGGAATTTGCCTAACCCCCTTTTAAAGCCATCCATGTTCATTGCCATCACCACATCCACGGCCAGTGCATTCTACAATGTAATTATTTATTGAGTAAAGAAGCATTGCATTTTGACTGTACTGCCACTATTGCACTTTGGTTGCTTTGGCTGCACCCAAGGTCTAATATTACAGGAGAGGGAGAAAAAGCTGTCTGTCCACTTTCTACACCCCATGCATAATTTTATAAACCTCTATCATGTCCCTCCTTAGTTGTCTCTTTTCTAAACTCAAAAGTCCCAGGCCTTTTAGCCTTTCTCATAATAAATATGCTCCAACACTTTAATCATCCAAGTTGCCCTCCTTGGTTGCCTCTGTTGACTTCTACAGGATTTGGATTGCACTTGGATTCAGTGTTAATCCAGTGGAAACTAACTGGATCTTGCTCCCTAGTTGATATTAACATACTTTACATTAGCCTGCCCAAATAAATGTACTTTTTAAATTTGGCTTTTAAAGCTGAATAGTTCTAGTGCAAGTTGCAGGTCAGGTATTAAGCTCCAAGTCTAATACTTGCCTGTCATCTTCAAAAAAATGTCTCCCATGTTCCTTTAAAATCTTTATTATTATTGATTTACCTACTGTATGTTGGAACAATTCCTTTTATATGCACAGACTGTTTTAGTTATATATCAGATCAGAAGGAAATCAGTACTATGAGAAATCAAATTTGATTCAGTTTTGTAAGGAAACCTAATCAGTTCCCATGTATTCATAAACATTACTTCTTTGGAAAAGTGAAGAGCTGAAAGGAAGAAATAATAATAGAGCTTAATTGACAAAGGTTCTTATGAAATGTTGTGTGTATATCTTTTTTTGTTTCTGATTCATGTCTGTTTCTTGGCACAGACAACTGCAAAACTTTTGGATGGTTCTCATCAGCAGCATGGATTTCTCTCCTTGACTTACACAAAGGCAGTCACCAAAAACGTCCGTCACAAATTGATTTCAAGAAATGAACGGAGAATCTTGCATAAATTATCTGAGAGTTTCACTGATGGTTCTCCTCATTTCCTTCATGAGATCCTTCTTTCAGCTCAGGCATTTGATGTTGTCCTCTGCTTTCCTTTTCTCAATGCAATTGCAAGTATATTTCAAGCAAAGTTGCCTCGGAGCCCAAAAGAGAAAAGAAAATCACCAGGCCAGCCTATGAGGACTCATATGCTCACATCTCGCAACTTGCCACTTATTTATATCAACACTGGGGTAATCAGAGTATTCTTTCCCAAAATGGAGAAAGTGCAGCACAATGCAGAAGGTATGATGTGCTTTCATACAATATATTCCTATGCTGTTATCTTCAGAAAGGAAATTACTTTTTTGGCATACAATAGGTTGGATCCTAGCCTCCTTTTCTGCTCGAGGGAAAGGCACCCACCTACTGAGCAGGGGGAAGCAATTTTCAGCGTTTCCTCCCCTCTGCTTATGTACTCCTCATATAATACCCAATCCTGTGCATTGTGTGACCCCCTTGGGGAAATGGTTCATGGGGTTGTAATGGGAGGAAGGAAGCAGAAGAGATCTATTGTTGAAAGCAGTACTTTGAGTTCAGTGTTTTCATAGATTATTAGCATGCAAATTGTTGGCAAGACCCTTTGGATTTTTTCCAGTGTTGACCTGTATATTGCAGGAACTGCTTAATGTTCCCCTTTTAGATGTTTGTAAAATTCTGACATTAGAGTTGTTTTAAAAGCCTAGAGACAAAGTAGAGGGAGCATCACATTTCTAGCTTGGTAGATTAGCCTATCATGAGCCCTCTGAAAAAAATTTTTAAAGCAAATTTAACATCCTTCGCATTGTAAAGCACATAAACAAAGAGCCCAGGACTTCAGTGAGCACCAGCTAAAAGTTAGCTCAAAGATTTAAAAGTTGTGTAAAGTTCATAATATAAATATAAATGTTTCGTGGTTAAAAAAAATGTTGGGGTTGGCTCAGACATTTGCAACTGATGATCTTTATGGGCTGATTAAGGTACAAAAGCTTTGTTCACTTTATTTTCCACATAGTCAAGACCTCCTCCAAGCAAACCATTCTTATTTTCCCAAATAGTTTACCACGCAAAATTCTGTAATTATTTTCTGTGTGCTTTGTGAGTATTGGATAGAATTATCTGACCCCAACCGTGGTTTGCTCATTAAAGCTGTGCATCCAGACTGCTGGTTGTAGTCTCAGTATGGGTTTCTCTGGATGCATCTCTATGGTATGCAGAAGCCAGTTTATGTATATATTTATTTACATGAATCTTCTGGGCTGCATGCGAAGTTTGCTTGTTCTTTCCACATCAAGCAGCATGTTGTTTAGTAAAGTACTTAGCACTCACCACACTCTCAACATCTGTAGCTGAAAGCTGAGTTTTCAAAACAAGATGTCTGGGCTATCTCACTGGGTGGCCACAGATGGGAAAGGGGGATTGAAAGCTTACGTACATCCTCAAAGTATACGCGCTCCTGAGGAACACTAGGCTTGCCTGCATGTATATATCATATGTCACTGTCAGCTTATAAGATGTCATACAATCCTTCACAGGCTGAAAGAAATGTTATACAACAGAGAATGCAGAATCCTGCACTGAATGCATTCTACATTCTCTCTTTGTTCATGATCTACCTAGTAATTTTTAACTGCATGGATAAGTTAGTTTTTATTGTGGTGATGTTGTACCAGCTGTAACCACAGATGACTGAAGCACCAGCTCTTCCAGTGTAGCTGACAGGAGTACAGTTTTCAGTCCTTAAAAACAATTAGAATAAACCTGTTATGGTGGTCTTGCTTATTCCAGGTTCCCATATTCTGTTACTCTCTAGCATGACCAAGGGACACAGACAGAGAGATGTATAGATCTGCCTTTAGTTTCCTACAACGTACAAGCAGTTTGTGCACCATGCCATCGTGATTTCAGGCATTTCACTATCCAGTGCTTAACGTTAGTAATTGCCCTGCAGTTGAATGCATTCAAATATTGAAATACCTACATAGTTATGAAAGGACCCTTTCCACCTTTTAAAAGTCACTATTTTCTAAAGAAACAGTAAGAAGTATTTTTATCCCAGTATTAGAGGCAACAGCTCTCGTCTGCTTCATTCTTCTTACAAACAGATTACTTCTTTATCCTTAAGTATGGGCTTTGCTAATTTGCAGTGGTCACACTGGGTGTGTGTGAGAGAAAATGGGAGGAGGGAGCAGTTTTAAAAATGGATTGGAACCAATAAGTAGTATTACTTTCTTTTGTATTCTTCCACTAGTATCTCTTGCACAAGTAAAGTGACAACAGTTCGTCATGTGACTACCTTAATTAGCATGTCTTCCTTCATAGATATATACATCCATCACTGTTTCTTATCTTGATTGCAGCTAATAAAGAAGATACTTTGGTCCTTAGGATTGGTTCTGTATCTATGGCTCCACAGGCTGACAATCCTCTTAGCAGAGTTGTGTTGAGAAAAGATATTTATCAGTAAGTACTTTAAAAAAACTTCCACAATAGTACAATTTTTGAGGGGAAAATCTCATAGAATCATTTGTGCTGTCTATGTGGTTGAGGATTGGGATCACGCCAGTTTATGGGTCCAGTTTAAATGTCTACATACACACATAGGTCTTGTCTGTGTGATGTACATCAAAACTCAGGATCTAACAATGGCATGGGGAAGACTGTGCATAGTGCTGTATTCACATTGGTTTCTATGTGAACACTAATTTGAACACAAAGGGCAGGCATACCATGTAGATGCTGTCTCAGCACCACTGCCACCCCGCAAGACAGACAAAGGTTGAATGTTTTCTTATGGCTGGTGTAATGATTATCTATAAAACCTGAACTTCGTTAAAATTATTTTCATTTATTCATATATTCATGACCTGGCCACTGTGATCCATGCAACGGTTACCTTGAGGTTAGACTACTGTAACGCTCTCTACTTGGGGCTGCCTTTGTCGCAAGTCCGGAAGCTGCAGCTAGTGCAGAATGCTGCAGCCAAGCTGTTGATGGGTCTCTCTAGGAGGGATCACATCCGGCCTGTGCTGAAAGTGCTGCACTGGCTGCCAATAGCGTACTGGATTCGCTTCAAAGTGCTGGTTCTTACCTTTAAAGCCCTATATGGCCAGGGTCCGGCTTACCTAAGGGACCGCCTTTCCCCATATATTCCCCCAAGGGCACTATGGTTGGGGAGTCAACATCTCCTGGTTATTCCAGGCCCCAGGGACATCAAATTTGCTGCTACCAGGGCCAGGGCTTTCTCGGTGGTGGCTCCTACCTGGTAGAATGAGCTCCCGGAGGAGATCCGGACCCTGCGGGACCTTTCGCAGTTCTGCAGGGCCTGCAAGATGGAGCTCTTCCGCCAGGCTTTTGAGTAGGAGCCGCCGCCACCACTATTCCATCTTCGTTATTTCTACATCATCGCACCCCCATCACCATCCATGTGGGTACCATTGGGGTGTGAGACGACCCTGGATTGAGAAGGGATGACAGTGCTACTGGAACATACATTGGGTTGGGATTAACTCCATTTTGGGATAAATGATTGACGTGATATTTAGAGCACCAATATTTTATTGGATTGTATTATATTGTTTTATCCTGGTTTTATCTGTTTTAATGTTGGCATTCTTGCCATCTTGTTAGCCACCCTGAGCCTCCGGGGAGGGCGGGGTATAAATCTAAAAAATAAATAAATAAAAATAAATTTAGTGTTTTATCTTTTTAAAAAAATATCGGCAATAGGCTTTTTTGATGCATGTTTTCATATTTATTCATGTACTTTAAAAGACTGGTGAGCAGTAATTTAAATAATATACTAAGAGATTATTTGAAAAGCCTTTTTTCTTTTGCTAAAACTTCAGTGAGGTTTTTTTTTACAAATACCATATCTCTCAGTAGCTGTGTAGTGTGAAAGTGATTTTCATAATGCTAAATGGTTAGCAGACGTTCAAAATGCTGGACTGTTGATGTCATGTGGATCAAAGCTGTGAAAGAAAGCAAACTTCTAAGGCAAAGTTTCACAGTAAACACATTTTTGTGTGTGAATGTCGTGCTCTGGATTGTGTCACTGGGTCTGTGCAAACCACACTAATCATATGTAGGCAGCAAAACTGGAGAACATATGTAATCAACGTGATGATAATAGTATATGATCCTTACTAGAGCTGGCATTGCTGAGAAACATGAAAGTATTGATGCAAATAATACCAAGTGAGAAAAGTCACAGAAATACAGATGAACAAGTGTCTTATACTTCCTGTTGGCCTGTTTCTCAGATGTGGCAATATTTTTGTTTGAAAAATACTTCAGAGTACACTTCAATAGAAGTAAGTTGCAAACATCAAAATCCTTTCCCAGCAGTAAAACATTTTACAGCTGAGGAACTGACACATTTTCCTTTCAATCAAGTATAAGAATTCTTAGAGAGTGGCATAGGCTCCTTGAAGATTTCCAGCCTCTGCCTCAGGAGGAAGAGAAGCTTTGTCATAACGCATTTAATGATGCTTTTACCTGTCAGTCATGTATCTACACAGGCAGGTATGAATTGTAATATATGAACTGGTATCATGTTTCTGATGTTGTCAAAAGACCCATAAAATCAGGAATGCTTACTTGAGCATACAATCTAGTCAACAAAACAACAGGTCAGTCTCCCCAAGGAAATTTAGAATTTATGGGCGAAGAAAAGACCGAGAGGGTACTAAAGACGTGTGGAAATAAGAGTAAATGGTAGAGTTCTACAGCAGCATAGAGCCCCACACCCGTGAGGGCTTTACTTTCATAATTTGCCTAAACTTTGGAATGCCAGTTTCTTGTGTTGCATTGACTGAGAAACCATTGAAATTAGATAACCTTGTGTTCCTGTATGAGTGAAACACTTGAAAGAGTTGAAGAGTTTGCAGATTGGCTGTAGGGAAGCCTGTTACACATTTTGAATATGATAAACCTGATGTTCTTTTCTTAATCTGTTAGAACTTCATTTATCAGATACTAGGTCAGTAGGATCTGCTCTGCAGCCCTCAGTACCGTACTCTTGGTCTGATGGTTGTTCTTCCATAGTCCTTCCTTGGGCCACACTGTGAACACTAAGGCATTCTGCCAGTGCATTTCACTTTGGATTAAACACAGTTTTGTAAAGACCGGGTTCATTTGTTATTTCAGCGAGTTCCTTAGTGTGAGAGAGAGAGAGAGAGAGAGAGAGAGTGTGTGTGTGTGTGTGTGTGTGTGAAGTGTTATCAAATCACTTCTTATGAATTAATTACCTCCTAAATTGTCAGGGTAGAGCCCTGATTATTCACTGCAGTTAAGTTTGTGTGTTTGGTAGTTCAATTGTCCTCTGTGACTTTTGCTCATCCAAGTTTTCAATTCTACAATAAAGACAGTGTAGGATAAACAAGGTTTATCTAAATGTTTGCTACATAGTACAAGAGTATTTAGCACTACAAGTACATTCTGAGCAGTGTGTTGAGTTCAACTATGCGTTACATGTGACAATAAATATGTATTTTCCTATGCAGAGAGGTTAAGGAAGCGGTCATGTGAGATGCAGCACTGAACTCACAATTATACTTTCAAATTATGAAGTGAAATCTTGAAACTTTCAAGTAACTTAAGTCAGTCTAGATGGCTTCATGTAGTAGTCTTCATAATCTGGATACAACAAACACAGCTGAAGTCAGGAACTAAATTTTCAGAAACGCATATTTTTGTGTTAGGATGGGGGGTTGAGGGCAGGCATGATTGGCTCTACCTACTGACTCCCGCTTGCGTAAGCCAAACACATGAAAAATGCTTGTTGACCTTAGAGTCCTTTGGGAGGAAGGGTATCTAAGCTAGGGTTGCCAGCCTGCAGGTGATAGCTGGAGATCTCCTGCTATTACAACTGATCTCCAGGTGACAAATATCAGTTCACCTGGAGAAAATGGCCGCTTTGGAAGGTGGACTGTGGCATTATACCCCATTGAAGTCCCTCCCTTCCCCAAACCCCACTCTCCTCAGGCTCCACCCACAAAATCTCTGAGTATTTAATCTCAACCCAGAGTTTGCAACCCTAATTTAAGATGTTTACTACCATTCCCTCCATTTATACTTGTGCTCAGGAATATATATGAAGGATTCTGCCAAAGATTCACCTTCTGTTTACATTACAGGAAGGGAGTTAAAGGGCCCTTTCTTGGGTCTCAGTATGAGAGAAAGGGGCTGAGGTGCATTACAGTATGTCCATAGAGGCATTTTGGGATCAGAGACAATGCTGGTGACAGATATATTTATTAATTAAAGTATCTATAGGCCACCGTACCCCAAAGGGCCCAAGAGCAGTTCATATAAAACTGCCAAAGAATATGAAGACATTTTTTAAAAAAAAAATCCAACCCAAATATAATAAGCAAATGGAAATCTTAGGACACTGGATTTGGCTCTCATACCTTCAGTTGCTTTTCCCTGCCTTAGCACATGCTGTTTCCTTGAGGCATTGCCCAAGGTTTGCTAAAGTGAAGCTGAGACATTGCTCGGCATGCATCCATTCTCAAATTGAAGATCTTTCAGTAGTTTGGTGAGGCTTCCTTGTAACTTTGTGGCATCAGGTTCTGTGCCAGAAACGCATGTCTTGAGCAATGGTATTCTTCTAGCCATATATTCTTGAATAAGGTTTAGCAAGCTTTCCAGCCTGCCATGTAGGTAGACAGTATAATTTTAACTTGTTTGTTATTGATATACACCAGTGTCAAAAGAGCATTGAACGGTGTCCAGATTTTCATGTAAACATGGCAGTTAATGTACTTTAGATTTTCTGTTGGTATTTTAAGATATTCTAAGTTGGGAAAATGAACATGCTTGATAGAGAGGGAGTGTACTGCCATGCTCTACCCTGACCTATGTACATTCTTTGGAATGTCTGTTTAGAGCTTACATGTATACAGGAATATGTACACAGGATTCCACACAACTGGGAATTTTGGAAGAAGCAGCATTCCCAGTTTCATAGAGTTACATGCAGTTGGGAATGCTATCTTTTGTATGTTCCTAGACTCTATATCCCTGACCTGGATAGCCCAGGCCAGGAACATAAGAACATAAGAGAAGCCAATGTTGGATCAGGCCAGTGGCCCATTCAGTCCAACAGTCTGTCACACATTGGCCAAAAATACCAGGTGTCATCAGGAGGTCCACCAGTGGGACCAGTGCACTAGAAGCCTTCCCACTGTTGCCCCCCCAAGCACCAAGTATACCATGCATTACTTGCCCCAGACAGTTCCTATCTATATCTTGTGGCTAATAGCCACTGATGAACCTCTGCTCCATATGTTTATCTAATTTCCTCTTGAAGCCGTCCATGCTTGTAGCTGCCGCCACCACCTCCTGTAGCAGTGAATTCCATTTGTAAATCTCTCTTTCGGTGAAGAAGTACTTCCTTTTATCTGTTCTAACCTGACTGCTCAGCAATTTCATTGAGTGCCCTCGAGTTCTTGTATTGT